CCCCAAAACCCCAAAACCCCAAAACCCCAAAACCCCAAACTAGTCAAAGGGTATTGTATTAATTTCTTTTCTTTAGTATGGCTAAAACATATTATAGTCTACAGAGTCCTGACTATCTAGTCCTTTCCTAAACAATTAATTTGGATTCTTACAGATTAGAGCTCAGTTGGCTCGATAACTCAACCTTTTTATCAATGTCCGAAATGCTCCTGAAAGGCTCTATTTACATTTACATTCAAGAGTAACTCAAAGACACAAGGAGTACAAAGTAAAAACTGATGCTTACTGATTTTAGAAGGATTTCTGTTAAGTCTTGTCACTATAATTTTATCTCCATATTCCTTTAGTTTGGCTATACTTGGCAAACTAAGAGTACCTTTCCCTTCGAACCCAGTTTTCTTAAGAGCAGAAGGCAACACTTTGGGATTGCTAAGGATCCCTATCATTGAAGGCTTTGGCTCTTTTGTAAGAGATCCTTCTTTCCTATCTTCTGCAGAAAAATTGGCTGAAACATGAGATCAAGATTTTCTGACCACTTACCAGGTGTTTTAGATTTTTGTTTCTGATCTTCTTGTTTCTGTTCTTCTTTTATAGCAAAGGCCTTACTGCTGACTTTGAGTGTGTTGATAGTTATTTGAGTTTTTTTCTCTATTTTAAGATTTGATAAAACATTATTATTCTTAAAAATAGAAATTGTTTAACCATATTCTATTTTAGTAAATATGTATTTTCATAAAAATTAACCTTTCTGACAAATAAAAGTAAATATTTATAAGAAAACAAAAGAATAATGAAAATTGGATTACCTTTTTCGTATGTTTTACCTACAATATTCTATATGTTAAAAGTTTGAGATACTATAGGTATGGTCATGATTATTGTAACTCAGACAATAGTATTTCATATTAATCCTAAAATGTTAGGTTAAACTCACCTTTTAGCTCATGGTTTTTAAAATCAAACCCTTGGGGGTCGCTTATATCCTTGGGAAATGAATATGCGCTTATTAATATTACCAGAATTATTGATTCTGTCATAATCGCTCAAATTGTGTCTGTAAGTCTGAGAAACTGCTTTTGTAAGCACAGAAACATTGTGCAGCTCATCTGTAACAGTATAGCCCTATAAGTGTGAATCGACAACTTACAAAGTCAGTTGGAGGTATGGACTAGAGATACACACTAGGATTATCGAGAGGATAAACCTTCTCAAGATATAAATAACATAGTATTTCCTCCTTGTGGTTTCTGATCTCAAGATGTTTCTGTATAATGGGTAAAACATTGTTGTTTCCTCTTCTGTGAAATCCTTCATAAAAATTCTGAAGATTCAGTACATAGCAAACAGATTGTAAATGAGGGACGTCAGGATACTGATACAAAGAGAAATTATTTCCTTCGCTGAGTGATATCTGAACTCATATATTTCGTTCATAGTAACAAGATTCACTGGGAAATAGCTGATCAAGAAGATGTCAATATACAAGGCAGTGAACATTCTGTAAAAGTATGTTTTGACAATGGTGTTAATTTCAACATCTTGATTGTTGAGAATCGATTGATGGAATTTCTTATTTGTATTTGTGTATAACACATAAAAAGATTATTGATACTATTGCATAAATAGAAAAGATCAGAACAAAAGGAACCATTACTATCAGTGTGCTTCCGGATATCAATCCAATGTCATTCATTCTCCAATTGTTTTGAGCAATCGTAAAAGTAATTTCTTCAATTTTATTATAAATCCAAGAAGAGGCTTGTGGAAGGGGTTCGTACTTAAAAAAATTATCTGGAAACTCATACCTGAGCAAGGTGAGCGATAACAATTGGTAAAAGTTTATAAGGATTAACACTATTTGGCCAGACGGGATCTTTACAAACATGGTAAAGATAAGAACAGTTACAATAAAAATGAATAGTATCCCTGTTGAGCAATAGTTGATGATTGTGCTTGCTAATATAAGGGAGTCTACTTGGTCATATTTTTGATCGAGTATTCATTGTCCAGATATTTTGGAATATCCTGAAGTGCATGTTTTTCATCTCGAGTACTGATTTCATTCTACTCAGTTGCTTACAGAGCAAGTAGAAAGAATCCTTGAGCTGGCAATTGATGCTATGAAAAGTAGCATGAGTAATACGAAGGATTGCTTCATTTTTATTTAATATTTTAAATGATAATCTTTTAGAGCAACAAAAGGTTAATGGGGTTTTGGGGTTTTGGGGTTTTGGGGTTTCGGGG